TATCAGTTTCGAAAGAACGTAAAAAAATGCAAGTAGAAAAATAGGAACCACCTTTGGTGGGAAGGGAACAGCGTTCCGTGCGCCTTTGGCCATTTTAGTCATGCCGGCCACATGACCACGGAGACATCTTCGGACAGCGCTGGCTCTTCGGCTTTGAAACGGAGATGAGCACTGCCCCCTAGAGTCGGGAACAACTAGCACGTATGTGCAAGGGGAACCTTTACCATACCCTGTGGAAGGACGCCTTTCCTGCATCTCTTCCTTGCAGGCCGGACTTACATCATCATCATTTTCATTTAACGACGGGGCGGAATCTGGGCAACAGAATGGAGCTAGCAGAGCATTTTCATGGCCGGATGCTCTTCCCTGTCGCCAATGGGGAGTTTTGTTCCGCAGATATATTCTCAGAGAGAGAAATATCTGTCTCTACCTAGGATCGAATTCACAGTCTCCGGATCGTGAGGCGAGAGCTCCACCTCTAGGCCACTGCAACACTCATGCAGGCCAGGAAGCCTGTGTGTGGATGGGCTGTGGTTGGGGGGATCCATTTCCCCTGTGTTTCCAAAAGGAAGGATCAACTCAGCGGATGGGGAGGGGGGGGAGATGAGAAGCCGAGCGTCTTGGCTTCGGAGCGCCTGATCCTCCGGTCGCGGGAAAAGGGTTCAAAGAAATCCGGGAGGAAAGTCGAAAGTTTTGGGGTGGCGGAGGAGGAGTTTTCTCAGGTCTGTGTTGCCCGCTCAACGTCTGGCGCCTCCTTTCACAGGTGAGGGGACTTCCCAGCGGAGGAAACATGGGCACCACGGAAGCCACGCTGCGGATGGACAATGTGGAGGTCAAGGAAGAGTGGCAGGACGAGGACTTCCCCAGGTTGGTGCTCGCCGGAGGGGGAGAAAGTGGCTGCCCACGTCTTCCCAGAGAAGGGAGGCCTAGAAGTGCCATCCCAAAGCGGGTGGGGGGCCATGCGGGTGTGTGTGTGTGTGTCATATCAGGCGGGTGATGTTCCCTCTGGGCCCACCGTCACTCGGGGGCCAACAAGACAGTTCCTTCGTCCTTGCGAGTCCCTTTTGGGCCAAGGGTATATTTTTCTCCCTCGCCTTCCGCTTCTGAGATGGTCTCGATCTCGGTGCTCTGGCCAAAGGAGCTTCCTGCCCTCCATCCCTCGGAACCACGAGGACTAGAAACCTGGATTTGTTTTGGAAGAAAGGAGCGCAAAGCACAGGCTGGGTCTGCTTGGCAGTTGAGTCCTTGGCATCCCAAGGTTTGCTTGGCTTTTAAGAAACAAGGCGGTACCGGGAAGGGTGGGGGGAGAATCATGTCTCTGAGGCCCTGAATGGCTACCGGTGGTTGGTCTTTGGACAAAGTGTTTGGACAGCTGAGAGGGAAAGTTTTGGCCTGGGTGCTGCTCTGGCCACTGGCGTTTCTGATAGAGAGAGGGGGAGATAGTGATAGAAGATAGATAGATAGATAGATAGATAGATAGATAGATAGATAGATAGATAGAT